GTCATGTGTTCTCAGCGTCATGTGTTCTCAGCGTCATGTGTTGATCAGTGTCATGTGTTCTCAGTGTCCTGTGTTCTCAGTTTTCTCAGTGTCATGTGTTCTCAGCTTCATGTGTTCTCAGTGTCATGTGTTCTCAGCGTCATGTGTTCTCAGTGTCATGTGTTATCAGCGTCATGTGTTCTCAGCGTCATGTGTTGATCAGTGTCATGTGTTCTCAGCGTCATGTGTTCTCAGTATTCTCAGCGTCATGTGTTGATCAGTGTCATGTGTTCTCAGTGTTCTTAGTGTCATGTGTTGATCAGTGTGATGTGTTTGCAGGCCGAGGGACGAGAGAGGAGCAGCCTGGAGTCTAACAACACACACCTGCCTGTTCCAAAGGTAACACACACATCATGTTGAACATGGAATCATCCAAAGTATCACATCCCATCCACACAGTAAGGTGAACTGTCAATTAACCAATTCATCTTAATCAGAAATCCTTTATTAGTTTCACATTGGGGAAAGTGATAGGCAGCAACATAAATAACTTAGTGACATAGGTAACATATTAAGTGTGAGACATTATAAAACATGTACCTTTTGTGTCCTTAAAATTGCAGAAATAGCAAAAAGCTTTTATTTTTTGCTGAAGGGGATCTGTTTAGATCACTTCACAGTCAAAAAGCCATATTTCAGATTTAGTAAATTATCGTATTTGAAAGGAAAGCATAATATCCTGAGGTTTGAGAGAGTGAAGAAATATGAAGGAATCCCAGAAGAAGTATGAAAACATTTTGAAATATTAATTGAAAAGATCAAATGTCTTTCTTAATTTGAATCAATGCTTCCTTGTCTTGAACTTTATTGTAGGCGAGTTGTGATATTACAACCTGCTTGATATTTTAGACAATAGTCCATCATAATTCATGTAGGCCTTTCAACACCAAAGGGTTTTACAGTTAAAAATAATAAAGATACAAAAAAGTATCTGTACTGCAGGGATGAGAATTAGCAACACTGTTCTTTTAAAAGAGTGAATATAATCTTAATAGCTCATTCTAACATCACCATCAGGATTTTAGTGGGCCTCCTTTTAGCAAAACGCTCTGAGTGAATTGGTTCCCTCTGCTAAACGTGTGTTGGGCTTTTATTGTGAACAATGGAAGGAGTCTGGTCTTTTGTGTGTACACAGGTGTGTGTAGCAGATCTGGTTCAAGTTGACTTGATTTTAGTTTTTTTGAAAGACTATGCTTTGAGATCATGCATCTGAAATAGATTTACTGGAATTATTCTTTCTTAATCTTGTGTACAAATGATGTGTTCTTTGCACTTTATTAAGGGATCCTTACCAGAAGAAATATGTCTGTAAAGTTGTCTTAATGCACATTTTTCACAAGGCTTTTACGCAAAAACCGCTGCTGGAAGTGCATGTTCTAATGTACTAGAAACTCTGCCGGCGTATGGACAAACATGTTTTGAATAAACTTGAATGAGTTGTGTGTGCAGCTGATAGAGATGGATGCCTACTAGAGAAATGAATTCAGGCAGAAATACATGTTAAACTGTTAAAAATCATGGCTGAACCCTCCATGACATCTGTAGTCGTTTTTGACTGAAACATGGTCTTTGTAAGTCAGTGCATAATTTGATATTTGTACGCCTTTTTCTTCTCTAAGTCATATTTTCTGACGGCTTTTCTCTTCCTTCATATCATCTCACCTCTGCAGTCCATCCTCCTCTTCCTTCATTCCTCTCCCCTCTTTCACCTCCTTCAGCATCTCTTCTCTTTCATCTCCTCCTCTTTTTCACCTTCTTTCACCCTCTCTCCTTAATCTCTCTGCTCCCTCCTCTGTCTCTGCGAAGCTGCTGACTCAGCTGGATGATATAAAGTGCTCTATCAGCTCAACCAGCTGCATCTCTCTCTTAAGTGAGTGGGGAGGTGGAGAGGGATTGGGGGTGGGTACTCTGAGGACACTCTGGTCCTCCAGCATGGGTACACCCAGTACTGCAGTACTCTTAGGAAATACTACTGCAGCACTTTATAGCTGATTGTCCTAGCTTTACTGTCAAAGGGAAATTATCAGAATGAGTTTAGCAAAGTAAGCGGGGCTTCAGACCTTTTTGCACATCAGTCTAATGTGAAGAAATCCAAAAAAATTGATATTTCTTTGTGCACACGGGTATTGATTTTGTTTGAAGACTGCGTGAAATAGTTAAATTATCCAAACAGCTTTTTGCATAAAGACAACATTTTAGGATCTCTGAAATAGAACTAATGGAAGTATTAGTTATTCATCTTGTGCACAGAAATCCTGTGCATTTGTGTCTTTATTTATTTAGGGATCCTTACCTTGAGGATATATAGATCTAACTTTAAAAGCACATGATAATATGTGTGGTATAAATGTGTAGTACACAAAATAAAATGATTTAAAATATCTAAAATATAGAAAATGTTATTCACTTTTTCTGCACAAGCAGCGTCGGATGGATGCTCCATTATCCTGGCCAAAATAATTACGATCCAAAATATGTTTATTGTATTACAGGTAGGACCCATCTTTGTTTAGTGAACACCATTTTAAGAGAACAATCTCTATTAAGGTTTTCCTAAATAATACCTTCACCCGCATAAATAAATCGCTTTCTTACATGATTGTTCCTGTATTGTTTTAGAATCAGGCTCCCTTTTCACTTTCATAATAGAAATTCACTTCGATCAACGTATTGTGATTGTTTTTTATCGCGTCCCACATATTAAGTCCCAAATGAAATATGCACACAAGATAATGACTTTGCACAAGCCGATTCAACATCAATATCCAAATCAAGTCATTGAGATAAACATAATGTTCTTATAAACTTTAACACACCAGATAAACAAGCTCTTCATTTTGAAATACCTTGTGTCATGAACGGTTCTGTGTTAAACTAAAGTCCCGTCCGTGCCGTACTGTACTCTACTGCACTCCGTGTTCCGCTGCAGTGTCTGCTGCGGCCGTCCTCTGCTGCTTTATTTCCTGTTTTATATGCAGCCCATTTGGATGAAGAGGTTTTTTCACAGCCCACAGGTCTCTGATGGCTTTCCATAAAGACAGCCGGCGATGTCACTTCAGCGCCCGATCGTTCTCGGTCACGCCAGCCCGCTGACCAGAGAGAGACCCCCGTTACACATCCACACCTCGTTAACTTTTAGAGGTCATATGTTGAAGACTGCTGTAGTTACAGGAAGCACTCACGTTCATCTTCTTTGTGCAGATAAAGAGCTGCAGAAAATCACAATTCAAACCCAGTCAAACATGAATACAAGCAAGCAAACAAGCAGCTTAACAGGCAGAAAACAGCACCGAGCTGTCAGAAAGCACCGTAACACTAACCATCAACTTTACTTTGACTGTGCTTGTAGCACTTCGGGATTTGAAATCAAATATGAAGTGCTTTATAAATAAAACCCATTACTGTTGTTAAAGAAACATCTGCTGAGGACACCCCTATCTGTCGTTGTATTGGTCTTTTTATTGATTGTTACCCACTTTGGACAGTTATTTAGTTTTTAGGACATGCGCTGATCTGGCCCATTTCATCTGAGGAAACCCGGTTCAAGACTTATTAAAGCCTGATCCATATTTCTCACAAAAGCTTCTTTAATTTGTGTCTTTTTGACAAGGCTCATCATGTGTTGTTAAACGATTTGATCCACAGAATAAGTTGTTTTAATGAATGGCTGATTGTTGGCTGTTTGTAAAAGTCCTCTTCCCTTTAGTCCAAACGCTTCAACAAAAAGGTTCATGTTTATTTTCACTTAATGATGGTGCTAATGAATCACCAGTTTGATAAAACACAAATAAAACGTTCAACTGATCAACATTGAACAAAACAAGAACCAGTGTTAAGGTGTCGAACATGCATTCTTCGTATGGCCAGTGGGCGACTCCACTTGTTGCAAAATGATCCAATTGTATAAAAGTCTATGAGAAAATAAACCGGAACTCATATGTTCACCTGTAGATGCTGACGTGGATTGGTTTGACACTTTGGTCAGACTGAAAGATCTCAACATCTATTGGAGTATTTTATGTTCCCTATAGATCTTTTTTCTTTGGATTTGCATTTAGCACCACTAATAGTTCATAGTTTGCTCTTGTCCACCTCTTCAGTTAACAACGAAATACCTTTTAAACTATTGAACCAGTTTCACCAGCCTCAATCTTCTAAACATCTTATTAACACGCTGTAATGATGACTTTGTTCACAGATGTGACGACTAAGTGCGACCTGAAGCTGCTCAACGTGATTTGCTCTTAGCTCGCCACAAGATTGAGCGCAGAGCCTTGGGGTTAAACATTTTAGTTAGTATCTTGTCTATGGTAACTTCCCCTGCTATCTTGCAGCCCTATATTCAGCTGTCCTCTGATTGGTTTATATTTGATAAACATAATTTAAATGTTGAATTCAGATGTCATTTTCCTCCAGATGTGGGTCTAACTTATCCAAATCATGTGAATACCTGGTGGAGATTGAGATTAAAACACAACCAGAAACAACATCTGATCACACATTGTCATTAATCATAATTGTATGATTGGACAGTAGATGCAACTGCAGTAAAAGCTGTCAGCACAGATAGCCTCTCTGAGACTCAGCAGAGAGTCTGAAGCCACCAACTCGTCATCTCAACTGTCCTCATCTTCTAATGGCCGAGATATTAAATGACAACGTCCTTAAATCTTATGAATATGAGGCCATGCAGTCACGGCCAATACACATCAGTCTGCAGAACATCCTGTTAGCGTGATGAGCTCTCTGCTTCCGCCGTCTGCTCCTCACCTCCATTATATGGCCCTGATGGGCCAGCTTCCCAGGCCCAAATTAAAAGAAGAGGAACAGAGTCCTTGAAGATGAGGCTTCGTCGATGGAAATTAGCCTAAGTGTTGTCATTAATATTTCCAGGCGCGGACTAATGTCTGCATCGTAATGTTAGGAACAGGATATCCCCTCAGTATCTGCTGAGGAAGGCTCTTTGGGGAGTTAGAGAAAACCTTTATGTGTTCAGAGATGAAGGCTAATGTTCAAAGTAAGTCAAGTTTTAGATTTAGTGTCTGCTGCGGTTATTCAGTTTGGTCTCTCCACTGAGGAGACAGATGAAGCCTCTGGGTCCTACAGTCTGACTCATTCACCTGACCTCCAGCTCGCCCTAAATGCATCGAAGGCAACACCCGGCACTGATGAAACTCTGTGGATGAGCAACAGTATGTTTTTAGTTTATCTGTTCGGCATTTTCCCATTTTCCCATTTTAGTTCTCAAAGTGATGTTCTTCCTGTTTTTAAATGTAATTAAAATAATTTAAAGGAAGGAGACAGAGGCCACTTTTACACACAAAACCACTGTTTACCACAGGAAAGTGAACGTCGATACAAGCATCAAGTGTCTGATTGATGATTAAAGTTTGACTAGACAACTGATTTTTGAAAAGCATTTTGCCCTTCAGGTCAACCATTGCTTATGTTTCTTCGTAGTCATCATCATCAGCATCATCATTCATTCAGACTTGCTTGAATTTAGCCACTGACTTTCTGCTGTGACCTTTGACCTTTTCATTTTCACTCGGTGTTGTATGTGTTCCAGGGCTTCGGTGACGGCTCCATCTTGCCAGAAGACCTCCTTCAAAAAGTGGAAATAGAGGAAGAAGAGGAGCCAGAGCTTATCCTGGACGGAGGTCTGCCTCGCTACACCTCCTTCTCCCTGGCCTCTGACCTCTTGTCTCCTATGGAGGAAGGCAGGGAGATGGCCGTGGACGAGGACGTTGAGGTGGTTGAAGATGAGGAGGAGAAGGAGGTGAAGATGCAGGAGAAAGTGGAGGAGAACACGGGCTTGTTACCCAGGAAACCACCTCCGTCGTGGGAGGAATGGAAGCTCAACTCCTCCAGCTGGGCGGGAGCAGCAGAGGAGGTGAGGGGCTGGAGCCGTTACTGACGTCTGTTAAGTTAAAAGAGAATCAGCTGATCAGCGTCCTGTGAGAAACAATAAAGAAACACAGAAATTGCTTTTTCAGTGTTTGTCTGAAATCACCAGGAACTTTTTTATCAGTGCAGATCATTTTTATTTATTTGTTATTATTGTTTTAAGAGAACCCTGTGTAGATTAAAAACAGTGGGCATCAGTGGAAACATAGACAGGATATAGAGGAGGAAAGAGAAAGGTGAACGACTTTGGCAAACGAGGGGTTACGTATGGTAACCCTTGTTATATAAGCACAGGCGGAGCCCTCTACTGGACACTATGGGTACTACCTTATCATCCAAGCATTCACCTACTGTGACTTCTATTGACGTAGCCGGCCCCGGGCGGGCCTACCTGAATGCGTGTGCATCTCACCATATAAAAGCCACAGCCCATGTGGAGTGCGCACGGACCCCCGCGGGGCAGGCTCTCCCTGCCTGCTTGTAGGTATGTGCAATGCCCTCGCAGAGTCGGCCTGCCAGGCGTTTCTTGGACAGAGCGTTCCCGATCACCCCGCCCCCAAAGCACACAAACAGCTGTTCAGTGCGTCTAAGGGCAGCCGTGCGCTCTACATAACATGCTAACGTGCGCACCGGGCAGAGGAGGTGCAGTTTAGCTTCCCTGGCCCCACCATGGGGTGGAAGACTAAAACCACGTAACTGAATAGCCCTCGACCTGAACGCACTCCTTAGGCTCTTGGGCACAAAGGAGGGGTTCGGTCTGAGTTAGCATTTTTTCGCTCGTGGCTAATTCATAGGCTCACCGTTAGCTTTGTGGGTTTAAAAAGAAAAAGAAAAAAAAGATCAGTTAGCTGAGTTTCTTCCCGTTAACATTCATAGTTTATTGAATAGTAAGATGCCCTCAGACGCTGTTTCCTGTAGATGACATGTTTTTCCCCACGATATCGAGGGGGCGGTGCTTAACAGGTTAAATTGTATTTGTTTTGTCTCAATTTCTTTACATGTTTACTGTATACAAGTCTCCCTTGATTTTAGACTGAGGATTAACTTCAATTTCAAGGAATTCAAAGTCAGTTATTGTCTGTGTGTACTCCTCTCAGACTTGGAGCAGAGAGGAGCAGGAGGAGCTCAGCGACAGGGAGGAAGAGGAGCTCAGCGACAGGGAGGAAGAGGAGGACCTGCAGAGATCTGACCATGAAAGCATTGTGTCATCAGCACAAAGGATTCCGGGTCAGACAAATATCTGAATATTTATTATAACCTTTTAAAATCATAAAGGAAGTCAAAACATAGTGTAAATGAAAAAAAGTAACTGTGTGTGTGTGTGTGTGTGTGTGTGTGTGTGTGTGTGTGTGTGTGTGTGTGTGTGTGTGTGTGTGTGTGTGTGTGTAGGTATTCCAGACTTCAGAGACAGTGAAGCAGACTCTGAGCTCACTCTGACAGACACCGACACAGAGTCAGTGTTTACTGCAGCTACACATCAATCATTACCATTACCATCCTCTTCCTCCATCTCTTCCGTTTGGGCTCTTCTTCTGTTGTTTCTTTCACAGTCCTCTGTCTCCCTCCTGTGGTTACATACTGAATCTCACAGTGAGCTGCTCCATACTGCTGGATTTTGATACGCAGAATGCATTGTATTTCTGTCGCTTGACTTGCAACTTATTAGTTCCCTTGTGAATGTATACATTACACGTAACTGTATAATTGATCAGATAGAGCAGTTCTCAACTTTGTTAAAGTTCAATGTCTTAACTTATTATCTTTAAATGTTTCGATCTTGTTCTAATTTAAAAATATATATATGTGGCTATCACTTTGCACTACTTAGTTTCTATATCAATCTAGTCACATTCCCCCTCCAATTCAGCGTGACAGGTTTGATAACTTTGAAAGTCTAGTTCTCCACCTGTTTGAGTTTGAACAATAATTGGGTTTGCCATAACTGACTGATCAAGCAGTCCAGTGACAAGTTAATAAGCATGTGCTCACATTTCCAAATGAGTTATCCCATGTTGTTGGCTCGGTCATGTCCGTTCAGTCTTCTCCAAATCCTGACATTTCAGTGACTGATTATTAGACAATGCATGTAATCTAAGAAGTGAACCGTTTTTTTTTGTTTTTTTTTCTTGGAGGTCCATCAAGTTGACTAACAGTAAGAGAAGGAAGAGGCGGAGTCAGGGAGGAGCCTCTCTATCAATGAGAGGAGGCCAAGGGTAGGGCACCCGCCTCATCTGCAGCCAGTTAAAGAATCCCCTGCAGACACCTGTCGCTAACTGAGTGTGTGTGTTCACAGAGATCTACCTGAGAGAGAGGACGGGGAGGGAGAGGAAACTCCTGCCTTCAGTCACTGGGGACTCCCTCGCAGGTGACACACACACACACACACACACACACACACACACACACACACACACACACACACACACACACACCACTGTTGTTTTCAAGTCACTAATTCTCGAATCCGGATTCACTCTCGTGAAGTCCAAGTCGAGTGTGAGTCCGAGTCAGCATTACATGTGCTTTAGTCCGATTTATCCAAGAATAGTCCGAGTCGAGTCACGGGTCATAATGTATAAATCTGTGTGGATATATTTCTTTAAATGCAATACATGAAAAACGTAGGTCACAGGTTCCTCAACAGTGCATTACAAGACATACAGTTTTATAAAGATAAAATAAAATAGTCCAAAAGATATAATAGTGCAAGCTAAGGTGTTTAATAGTCTTATGGCCTGTGAGAGGAGGAAACTGTCTCTGAATCTTGTGATTTTAGTCCTGATGCTGCAGTACCGCCTGCCAGACAGCAGCAGACAGAACAGTTTGTTGCTTGGGGGATGGGGGTGATTCTTCTCTATGGTGCACCTGTAGAAGGTAAGGATCCTCTCTATTGCCCCTTTCACGCCAACGCGGTTCCAGGACCGGTTCGGAGCTAGAGCCTGATAAGCACCGTTTTTTCCTGTTCACATCGCAGCAGAGCCGCCTCTAAGCTCTAATTGTCGGTCTAGAAGCAAGAACCACATACGTCAGGCTTACGTCGGAGGCGGGGGCAGGAGCAGGATCAACCTGAGCAATAACAGTTTATGGCGAGTACAGCAAATGAAAGTTGTAACAAGCAGTAGCGCTGACCAAAGTGACTAGAACGCCACCACACACTTATTAAAAAAAACACACTTTATAAAGTCAGGCAACACTAACCAGGCTTAGTGTGATTCTGTTTATTTGTACCTTACTTTGACCCTCCGTTCGCTGTCATTGATCATTGTGGAGAGCAGGCATACAGTACGTTTTGTTTTGTATTATAGCAGCTATCAGATGGAATCAATATATGGGCTGCACTGGTTGTCATGTCCGACTATCACAAGTAGAATCATAATCAAAAATACCCCGGTAAAATGTGCCGGCTTGTGCCACAATACGAAAGCAACAAGTCATCAAGATAGTCAGAAAAAAGTCAGAATTCTGACTTTAATCTCAGAATTCTGACTTTAAAGTCCGAAATACCGGTAACTGTAGAGAAACCAGCTTCAGTGAGAGACTTACACATTGCAGTAGGCAACAATGGAGGACGTGAGTGAATTTCTGCGCGCCAGAGGGGTCCAAAAGGAAATCATATTGCAAATGGAAGGACAAAAGGTGAGTTATAAATATATAAGTGTGTTTTGGGCGTTCGTAAAAACAACGAAAAGGCGTTAGAATGTGAAATGCAGACATTGATGAGCTAGCAGCAAGTGCATTAGCTTATATGCTATGGCTTCCCCCCCCATCTAATTCAGTAAATAATGGTTTAGTTCGTTGACACGCAAGTTTGTGCTGGTGGTTTTCATGTTTCTGTAGAGATTTCATTAAGTGTGTTTAACAAGGCAGCTAGTGTTTTTTCATGTTTCTGTAGAGATTTCATTAAGTGTGTTTTAAAACAAGGGCAGCTAGCAGCTAGCTGACAATCAGAAGGCTATTAACCATAAAAATGATCAAAATCTCAACACATCATCTCGTCTAGAATGGGAGTAGACAGTTGTGTTTGTGGGAAAAAATATATATTGTAAAAAAAAAACACATTTTATGAAACAGTTGTAGTGAGGTTAAAAAGTAAGAGTGTTTAACACTTTCTGGCTTTAAATAAAAGGTGTAGGATTTTTTGTTCCTGCATATAAAATTGTTCGTTGATAAAATAAGATCAGTACTCCGTAATGGACCACTTTACTGAGCATTATACTGTCGGAAAAATAGGGAAGGAAGTGTCTTAACCTTACAATATTTAAACAATGTATTTTCTTTCTTTTTTGCAGATATAAAGCAACGATTATTGTCTGATGTACAATTCAACTTCAAACTGCCATATTACAAACCCCTCCTACGAAGACCAAATTGTCCTCTTTATATTCTGCGAATTACATCGTTTGCTGTACTGCTCACAACAATGCCTGCAGGGCCGGATTTTGATGACTTAATTAAACTATACTTCAGTCTTTCCCTAAGTAACAAAGAAATTACTTGCTATTTTGGCACATACTAATCACATTGTTTAGTGTCCGAACATTAAAGAGAATTTGTAAAAGAGCTAACCTGTTCCAGGATGGAAGAACCAGGTCTGACTTGGAGGAAGTGCTAGCTTTTGAACAGCATGAGATCATTGACCAAATGGACAGATGCAGGGATACTGTTGGCTACATTCTCCGTGCGATTCAACAGGGCCTTGTTGTGTCACAAGATAGCATAAGACGCATCATCAAACTGGTTGATCCACAAGGTGTGGAATTAAGACGAGCCCACCGCTGAGAAGACGTCAGTACAGATGCAGAGGGCCAAATGCACTTTCGCACATGGATGGTTATGATAAGCTAAAAGCCTATGGCAGGGGTGGCCAACCCGCGGCTCTCGAGCCGCATGCGGTTCTTTGCCTAGTTTCATGCGGCTCTCTTCAGTTCATATCGAATTTTATATGTGTGAGTGTGTAGGGGAGAGACACTGACTCCTGACTAGTGTTTGCATGGTGTACCGGATACTTGAAAGGTACCACGATACCTTGCCGTTAATAAACGTTATGATTCCTCCGTTTCATTAGTATCGGTACTTTAAGAATATACCGGGGGAAAGTACTCCAGTGAGAATTGCGCCGTTTTAATAAGGAGCCGTGTGTGTGTTCAGCGCTCTGGCTTCCACTCCCTGCACTGCAGCCGTGCCTGCAGTCCCCTCCCCTCTCAAGGCACGCTCAAGTGCCTCTCCCTCTCTCGTGCACGCGTTAGCTGCCAAGAGCATGTGAGAAAACGAGAAGCATGGCGTGCAAGTGGGAGTGCAACTGCCGCTGCGCCTCGGCTTGTTGACAAAAAAGACGCCAGAAGCGAAATGTTTGATGTATTTTGGCTATGTTTCCTGACAGTGAGGGCCAAGCCTACGGACACCACGAGGCCTGTCTGTAAGAAATGTCAATTGAATTGTTTAATACGAATTCTTTGTCATTTATTTTATTTATTGTTTCTCATTGTTTAAAAGTTTTGTGTATGGTTCTGGTTGGTGAAAAATAAAGCACAATAATTACATTTAAGACTGGTTTCCCTTTTTTTTAAGAGAAAGTATCGAAAAAGAATCGGAATCGCAAATTCTTACATAGGTATCGAACAAACATGTTGCTATCGTGAACAACACTACTACAGCTTAAGACAGTTAAAGCTGATATTATAAGTAAAATCTGTATAAGGTATTGAATACTAGAATAAATTGACGTAATTTGGCCGAAGCGTCAAACGAATACACTATGTTTCGGGCTCGGTTAAATTGCTCAACGTTACTAACGTCCCGTGTTACTTCTAGTCCTGTGTTACTTTCGTACTCCAGGCTCCTCCCTACGTGTGTATATCCCGTGTGGTGTCGGTACAAAATGTCAAAAAGTAAAGATTAACATGACAGCGAATTAAACACATGTCTAATTTGATGTGGCCCAAGAGCCAATCACAATGTACCTGCGATGCAGTGATACCAATCACCTTGAAGGGGGAAAAACCAAGTTAATCACGTTGATTAAACACAAAGTATCCAGAATGTTTACCACAACTAAACATTGTCTTAGAAGAGGGCACATAGACGCAACCCGCCAAGGAGCCGAACGCACCCCCCTGAAATACAAGGAAAAAAAAAACAAAATGTAATATAAAAAAAAAAAATATAAACATAATATCATTGAAACAAATAAACAAACAAAAAAAAATATATAAAGTATAATAGCAACAAATTGCAAAGAAAATAAATCTAAAACTAAACATGTCACTTTTCACATTGAACATGTGCTCTTAATAAATTTAAATAAACTAACGCT